CCATCCACCCATCCACCCATCCACCCACCCAGCTACCCACCCATCCAGCCATCCAGCCATCCACCCATCCACTCATCCATCCATCTTTCAGATTACCTGGACCAGCTTCCTTCATTGTCTCTTTCCCTCCTTTTCTTCTCTGCCTCTCTTTTTCCTATCTTCCAAGAAATATTTGTTCAGAATCTGTTATATGCCAGATTTAGCAGACTTCTCCAAGACATGAGAAGCTTCCCAGGAGAAAACGCAGTCTCTCATTGAGCTCCAGCCACGTCCTCTCTGCTTTTCTTCCCTCCCCCATGTGAATGCAAGGTTCTTGGCCTGATGCAGCTGAGACTCCCCATGGTATCTGAGAAACTCCAGAGCAGAAAGCCGGGAGGAAACCCAGGTCTTACTTTGCATTTTGAATCTTCCCATTTTATGAAGGGTACCATCAACAATACCTTAATAGCAGAGAAGTATTTTATTGCAGTGGTCTCCTTACTCATCTCCCTGCTTCCAGGCTTCCCTCCATGCTCCTCACCTCCCCCAGAGTGCTCTCTGTACAGTGCCTGCAATCCATCATTGGTCACCCCTGAGCCAGAGTTCCAGCTCTTTAACCATGCAGAAGACGCTTCATGATCTGGCCCAGGTGCCTCTGACCTCATGCCCTCTCTGGGCTTGGCATATGTTTTACACTCAACACCATAATGCAATCTAGTTTGCCAGGTAGTGCCGCCATCTCATTACCTCATACTTTTGAACACGCTAATCCCTGGACCTGAAACCTTAAAAAAAAAAAGAAAAACTTTATTCCATGTTCTGTTCTTGCTTGCAACTCTGCATACTCTTCTACTGCTATGCTTAGGTCTTATTTCCTCCCAGATTATGAGTTTTTCATCTTTGTGGCCAGTTCCGGCATGATGTCTGGTACCTAGAAGATACTCAGTATGTATTTTCCAGATGAATGGATGGATAGGTGATGGATGAGGAATCTGGCAAAAGAATAGGATATAGCCTAGTCTATCTAGCAACACCCCTCACCCCAGAAGACAAGTGGTTTCCTCCTCCGAGCTCAGGCCTTTGAGCAGACGATCAAGCTGTGACCTGGGCTAGGCAAGATTTCCAAGCCAGGAATGGGGAACTTGGATGGTGAGCTGACCTCCTGTAAGACTCACTTCCCGATTCCTCTAGATAAAAGAGCCCTGGGGAGGCATCACCAGGAGCCCCGGGCTGCTAGGTGACGGAGCAGGATGAAGGCTGAGGGGGGCCAGGTGCTTGATGCACACTTCACTGTAGACAAACAGAACATCTCTCTCTGGCCCCAAGGCAAGTGCTAACCTCGCTCAGAGCTTGCTCAGGGCTCTGAGCCCAGAACCTCTGTTTGCTGGTCCTCTAGCAAATGTTCTCTTCTCTCTGCAGAGCCTCCTCCCAAGACAGACCCGCCTCTAGCTCTAAGGAAGTGCCCTGCGGTGGTCCGCACAGCAGTCATCTTCCTGACCCTGGTGCTGGCCGCTGCTGTGCTGCTGCTGGCTGTTGTCTGTAAGTGCTCAGGTTTCCCCGTCCTGGGCCAGTGCTTCTCAAGAGCCAGATCCTCTCTTCACCCCTCTCCTCTCCTCCTCACCCCTCCAACCCCCTTCTCATAAGATGGGCTACTGCTCTTTTCTTCTCAGTACTTGGGAGATTTTCCTGATTGGGACTTGTCTCAGGGACATTGTTCTGTCCCTAGGATGTGTTCACCTCCTCTTCACCTCTGTCTCCCGCTCCTGCCCCTCCCCCCCCAGCTTGTGGCCCTTCCATTCAGAGCCTGTGGGCACACTGTGAGTTAAATGTCCACTGCAGCCTCTGTCCCCGGTGACTGTCTGAAGAACCGGGCCAGCCACCCTCAGAGCTCCGAGACTCACCCCTGGCCACGCTCTCTTTATTCTCCTGTTGCTGTCAAACAGCCTCTCTACTTGCTGCTGAGTGTGCCCCCTTTCTCTCCCATAGCTCTGGCTGCTGGCTGAACCTTCTTCCTTCCACCAGGTCTCCAGGCAGCGGAGGGAGTCTTTTCCCTTCAAGACTCCCTTCAAAGCAACCTCGTCTGCTTTGAGCACTCTTGGTTTATCTTTGGTCTCCTCCAGGGCACCAAGTAGATCTGACCTGAGTGGGGTGTGACAGTGGGTGGGATGAGAGGGGGTGAAATGGCTTTAAAATTCTCTCTCTCCGTGGACTCTGGAGAAGTCACGTCCAGATTAGAAGTCTGCACACCTGGTCCCTCCTGTAGCCCTGAGGAGCTTGTGGACAGACGCAGGAGGCTGCACTGTCCTGGGGGGACCACTCCAGGGAGGGGTCTCTGAAAGGAGGGCACTGGGGATCAGTGGTGGGCTCAGAAAGATAGGGGAGGGCGGCGAGGGGGTAATTGCAGGCATCTTTTTGCCAAATGTGCCCTCAAAACTCAAAAGAAATTTTAGAAGTGTGTTCTAATTCCTGCTTTTTTTTTTTTTTAAAGATTTATTTATTTGTTCATTCAGAACTGGGGTACAGGCCAGAGGCTCAGGGGCGGCGAGAGGCTTCACCAGAGACAGAGCAGGGAGCAGAACAGGCAGATCTACGAAGTACACTGCTGAGGGGAGCAGTGGGCGGGCCAGGAGAGGTCTGCCACGCCATGTGGTCACCTCCGGAGCGGGCGGGAATCGAACTCATGTGGAAGTGGCTTTAGCTTCTCAGTGCTGCGCTTTAACCCGCTGCGCCACCAGGGAGGGCCTCTAATTCCTGCCTTTAAGGAAAAAGGACCTGTGAGGTCCTGGAACAGAAAGCCTGTTTTATCACTCCCTGCATCTCCTGGAGTTCCTGGCACATAGCAGGAACTCAGGATGCTTATCATGTTTGTTGAAGGAATACATTACACATGTATGGAGAGTAGGGGAGAGTTCTTTGGGTTGGGGTCTTGGAATACTTGAGTTTATCCAGTCCTTCCTTTTATCACCCTGACACACCCTCCCACTGTCTAGGCGGATGCTCTTGGTTGACCTCTTGACTTTCTCAAATCCAGATCCCTGGTTTATGAGCACAATAGCAGATATAAAGACCAACGCCCAGTTGCTGAAAGATCGTGTGGATAATATCAGCATTCTGGATTCTGAAATTAAGAGGAATAGAGGCAGCATGGAGGCGACTGGTGTTCAAGTGCGGCAGGTTAATGCCAGCCTGGATCGCTTGCATTCCAAGATCCAGAGGTTGGAAATGGGTGTGTCGGAAGCCAATATGCAGATACAGATATTAAGAAGCAGCTGGGAGGAAGTGGATCATTTGAATGCCCAAATCCCAGACTTAAAAAGAGATTTAGGCAAAGCCATTGCTTTGAATGCAAAAGTCCAGGAAATCCAGAAGAGATTGGATAATTTTGCCAAGTTGGTCAAACAGCAAGGTAAGTGGCTCAGAAAAGACTGGAGCCAGATTACTAGTGGTTTGTGGGGCCTGGCCATTTTCAGGTACCATACCCATTGGGCTGGTGTGTGTGGAGAGAAGAGGGGAGAGAGCAAGGCAGGCATGGATGGAAATTTAAGGAGAGGATTTGCTATATTGAGGACTTAGGGGTGTCAGGAGAGAAGGATCAGGGCCAGTCTGGGCTCCCCCACCAAGGAGCCCAGACATCAGGAATCTGTCTGTCATTTCCACTAAGCTCTTCACCTAGAGTTCTGGGGCTCAGCCACTGTAATGGCCAATGGAGAATAGCTTCTCCCTTATGGGAGAGCTGAATCTTGATCTAGCCTCTGTAATGTCTCTCCCCCCCCCCCCCGAGTCCCAAGTTTCTACCAATCTCAGTCAGATGTTAGGATCTGGGAAATGGTCCCTAGTCCCCAAAACAAAGGCCCAAGGACCCCAGAGACCAGCCCCATTCGCTCTTGTCTCTGGAGCCCCAGTTCAGCACCCCTTGAGCCAGCGCCCAGAGACCACAGGAACGCCAGTGACACCTTTCACCCTGTTCTTAGGTGACATTGTGCAGATGGTTTCTCAAGACTGGATGTACTTCCAGGGGAACTTATATTACTTTTCTCGTGTTGTGAAGACCTGGTACAGTGCCCAGCAGGTCTGTGTGTCCGAGAGTTCACACCTGGCCTCAGTGACCTCAGACAGTGAGCAGGTAAGTGCTGGTCCCTGGAGTCTAGGAAGGTGGGGTACTGGTATCTGTATCAGGTAGCGTGGACAAGACGATGTACAGGGACAGAAACCCCCAAATATCAGTGGCCTGACTGTGAAGTTTGCTTCTCACACTGCATGTCCAGCAAGAGCTGGTGGCAGGCTCCGCACATTGTGGTTTTGGGGGGACCTAGGCTGGAGGAGACTTCATGTCAATGTAGACCTCCAGCATCATGGAGGTTGGAAAGGGAACATGGAAAATTGTGTGGTGGCTTTTAAAGCTTCTGGCTGAAGTAAATTATACAGTACTCCCAAGTTCAAAAAAGGGTGGGAGGGATGCTCTTTTCAAGTGCTCAGAAAACACAAGTATTTGTGAATAACTAACTGCAAAGCCCAAGAAGTCTCCTTAGTGAGGCAGCATGTTTATTGAACAAGCCCCTTTCATCAGGAGGTGGTTTAGCAGCATAGGTTCATGAGAGAAGAGGGGCTGACAGCTGAGTGTTAGTTGCAAGTCAGAATCTGGAAGATGACTCTGGGCTCAGAGGCTAGCTATAGGAAGAGGCTTGAGAGGGGACAGGTGGGGCTGGATGGTCTGGGTTTAGGGGCTGCCATGAGAAACAGCAGTGCCTCTATTCCTTCCCCACAGGAGTTTCTGTACAAGAGAGCAGGGGGAGTTTTCTACTGGATTGGCCTGACTAAAGCAGGAAGTACAGGGGCCTGGACCTGGGTGGATAACACTCCATTCAACAGCGCCCAGAGTATGAGGTAAGTCTCCAGAGCCCTCTTCCCAGTCTGGCTTTTCTGGGCCAGGAAGGGAAGGAGGGAGGGATGGAATGATGGCTCCCCATGATGACAGATTAGAGCCCTGACTAAAGACCTGGCTCGCCTTTGCCACTAATTGGCCATGGGGTCAGGACCAAGTCCTGTCTGCACAGTGGCGGCACCAAGGTTTGGCTGCTTGGCCTTGCTTCAGCAGGGCCCTATTCTAAGTCTAGGTGTTTGCAGTGTGGGTTTGTCTAGGGCCTTGAGAGTGGTGGGTGGGTTTGATGCTAACCTGGGGGGGACTGCTGGCTTAGAGGATGATGGCTCACAGGTCCCCCTTTCCTCAGGCCCGGGGGCATGGAGGGGAGGGGAAAGCTTGCAACGTCCCAGCAGGAGCACTATGCCTAGTGCACTATGCCTAGGTCCACAACTGGGGTGAAAGTCACCCTTTTCTCTTTGGAAAGAAGTTTTTCTGTTTCTCCCCCTCATTAGGTACTGGGCTCCGGGTGAGCCCAACAATTCCGACAACAACGAGCACTGTGTGAATATAAAGCTGTCCTCGCTTCAGTCATGGAATGATGCCTCTTGTGACTCAAAGTTACATTTCATCTGTAAAAGGCCCTATGTCCCATCAGAACTGTGATGGGCCAGGCCCCCAGGATTGCAGATGCAGCCCCATTCTTGTCAAGTTCAAGGAAACACCCTTCTTCCCACCATGCTTCAGAGTGACTTTGCACCTCAGTCTTTCCTGCTTTAAAATCCTGTCAGACACCCTGCAGCCTGTCTGCTTGGGCTGGGCTCTCGCCAGCCACATCCAGGCAGCTGGAATGCGATGGAGACCTTGGGTTAAAATGGGAGGGGAGGATGGAGGGGGTTTAGACGTTCACACTGCCTCTGCAAGGTGAATGGGACCGTGGATCTGAGGCAACACCCGGATCTTAACATATTATTAAGATCTTATGAACATCTTCCATTTCTCATAAATAATTGACAATATTGACACATTATGACAAACCACTTTGGACACGTTATTACTAACTAAAGTCTATACTTCAGATTGCCTTAGTTTCCCCTTAATTTAATCTCCTCTTTGTGTTCTGGAGTTTTATCCAGGGTCCCCTATTCCATTTTGTTATGTTTCCTGGGTTCCTCTTGGCTGTGACGGTTTCTCAGACTTTCCTTGTTTTTGATGACCTTGCGGGTTTTGAGACATGCTGGTCAGGCATTTTGTAGGCTGTCCCTACAAAATGGGTTTGTCTGATGTTTTTCATCAGGCTGGGTAATACCTGTTGGGGGATGACCTCAGAGAGGAAGTGGGTGTGTCCGATCATTGTGTCTCTTCCTCACTGCCACTGACTTTGATCTCTAGTCTGAGGTAGTGTTGGCCAGGCTTTGTATTCTTTAGAGGGAGCCCATTGTCTTAGACTGTTTGGACTGCTGTAACAAAATATCACAGGCAGAGTAGCTAATAAGCAACAGAAATTTATTTCTCAGAGTTATGGAAGCTGGAAGTCTAAGATAAGGGTATTATCTTGGTTGGGTAAGGACCTGCTCACAGGCCTCACACTCTTTGTTGTAGTGTCACATGGTGGAAGGGGCAAGTGAGGTTCTCTTGCCTGGGTCTCTCTTTTTTTCCTCTCTAAAGATTTATTTATTTATGCATACAGAACTGGGGTACAGGCCAGAGGTGCGGGGCAGAGAGGCTTCACCAGAGACAGAGCGGGGAGCAGAACAGGCAGATCGTCGAAGTACACTGCTGAGGGGAGCAGCGGGCGGGCCAGGAGAGGTCTGCTGGGCCATGTGTGTCACCTCCGGGGCAGGGATGGAACTCCCACTGAAGTGGCTTTGGCTAGCTTGCAGTGCCTTGATTTAACCCATTGCACCACCAGGGAGGGCCACCAGGGTCTTTTATAAGCGCTCTACTCCCATCAGGTCCCCCTGCAAGACCTAATCACCTCCCAAAGGTAGGCCCTCTAACACCATCACGTTAGGGGTTGGGATTTCAACACATAAATGGGGAGGGAGAAAGACACGAACACTCAGAGTGGGCAGCCACTTGTACAGCCCACATTAATGGCTTCGTGGGTTTTATGCTTTGGGTCATAACCCAATGCTGCTTTATTTTCTTGCACAAGTTGTTCCAGCTCTGGCCAGTGGGAACTCTTTCAGTTGGTTGACCCTTGTGTCCTTTGTTAAGCTTCTGTTTACTTTCAGGTACTACAAGATGGCCCAGATTCACCTTATATATTTCCTGCTCCAACCAATCAGAGAGGCCTGGTTTCCTCTGTTGGACAATTGTATTAGGAATCAGGATCCGGGGGTCATATGTGGCTTCTGCTGTTGGGATGTTATTGGTTCTTCTCAGCTAAGAGAGTTAGGTGATGCATGTGTGTAAACCTAGTTGTTCTTTGAAAATGTCATTATGTTTGCAGTAAGATGGGTTTGAGGGGGACAAGACAAGAAGAAGCAGAGAGAACAGTCGGAGAACTAATTGAATTAAAGCTGGGTGAGTTGGGGGCTTGTATTGAAGCTTGTGATGTGAAGGTCTGTTGTTGCTGTTGTTGGATTTGGTTGGGTGTGAAGCTGGGACGCACTGTATGTCTGGGTTCAAACCCTGCATCATCGTGCAGCAAAGCCACCTCTCTCCGGCCCTGACTCTGATGGCCTCTGGCCTGGCATTGCTGCTCAGTGGACTCTCCCCGGTGGTGATCCAAGCCTGCAGACTCGCAGCTCTGCAACTGGAGAGGAACAAGCTTCCTTTTCCCAACAGTCCCAGAGAAAGGCCAACATTGGGTCACATGTCCCTGAAACAGAGTGGTGGTCCGGGGGTGGGTTATGTCAAGCCAAAAGGTCAGTCCTAGGGCTGGGGCTTGGGTACGGGCTTCTCCCCTACCAGGCATACAGGGCGAGAGGGGAGGACTGGTTCTCGGGACAAAACCCAGGCGAGAGGCTTAAGGAAGGGAGGATGTCAGCTCTCAGATGCTCAGCGCCCCTGCTGGGAGGCTGTGGGCCTCTCCCTCCCCTCCAGACTGTTGGAGCAACGCTCCTTGGAAGACAGTTTGACCATGCGGTGTTGTGAGAGGACAATACAGGTGACAACACACTTGTGGGGCATCTGCCCTTGGAAGCTAGCTCAAGGCGCTCTGGGGCACAGCCCGTACCCTTCAGTAGGGCAGGAAGAACCTGCAGGCCAGAGCTTCCAGTCAATGAGTGGCTCTGGAAGAAATGCATACAGTGTCCACTTGATTTTTTTCTGACCACAGAATATATAAAAACCTTTTGGCAAAGAAGTAGCAACCTCCTGGTGTTTTTGTTTGGGCAGCTGGTGTTCTCAGGGGCTAAAGAAGAGCTGGAGCTCTGAGAGGGGAGGGCAGTGGGTTCTGGGAAGAGAGGCCAATCAGCTCTCAGCGCACCAGGTAGCAGGAATATGCCCCTCTTCTGGCCAGGACCCCACTCTTCTGCTGGTCCAGGAATCTCCAAAGTCCTGTGCTTAAGGCATCCTCAGCTTCTCAGACACGAGGTGGGAACAGCCCCTGACTGGGCTGGCCTGCTCCCTGCACTTCCCATGCACACCTGGGGAGGTACCTCCAGGAACCCCTTTCCCATGTGGCTTGCAGGTACTGAGGGGGGCTCAGGCAGAGCTGCTGACTATTCCAGAAACAGGGACCTTTGCAGTCCTCCTGTGTCTTTTCTCCCAGGTCAGCTTTCGACAGACAGAAGGTAAAGGCCACAGATGGGGGTTTGCACCACCATAAGCACGTGTGTGATGCCTCATGCCCCGCCATCAAGACCCATATAGGTGACTACCCACCCTCACTCTGCAGACCTGCCGTGGCCAGGCTCGTGGCTGGCGGCGCTAACGGTGGCCATCTGTGGCTGGAGCCTGGGCTGTTGTGGGAGGTGCTTCTACCTGGCTTCTCCACTGCACCTGGGTTGCAGTCTTGGCTAGTGCTCGGGGCCCAAGGCAGGCTGGTTCCAGGATTTTGGAGACAGCCTTAGGAACACTACCAAGATAGGAAAAACCAACACGGATGGGGTAAGCCATCCACCAGGTTGTAACAGCGACCCGGTTATGCTGACTCGGGTTATCCCCACCCCCTCCACCATCACCTTCCCCACCCCCCTCAACCCCTCACTCTCCTTACCTGCATCTTACCTGCAGGGTCAACTATGGTCACAAGGACATTTTTTCCTTGCAAAACTGAGACGGAACCCCTGATTCCACCTAGGTGACCAGGGAAAAATGTGTTTGTGACTTGGAGGAGACAGCTGGTGTTTGGGGGCGACCCTGGTGTGTGGAGATTGGGAAGGTGGGCCTGCTGGCAAGATGGGGGGCAGGTGGTGTTGGGAGTAGAGAGAGGACCATGCCAGCAGACTGGTGCCTGGGAGCCCGGGGGGAGGGGCCCTTTGGTGTTTCGGTGGAGTCAGCAGGGGAAGGAGGCAGAGCTTGGGTCATCAGGAACCATTCCGGAGAGACAAGGCTGGGGTTTGTCACTTCACTTCCTACCCCTGGAGGCCCTTCGGGAGACGTGGCAAAGGGCAGCATTGGGGGACCAGAGAAGCTGAGATGAATGGTGACAACGTCCACTTCTGCAGAGACCACCAGAGGGTCTCCCTGCATCCCCAAGGTGAGACAACTTGGACCCCAGTCCTTCTTCAAGTCCCCTTTCTCTGGCCACTTATCCTGCCTCGGCAGGCCAGAGCTCAAGTTCATCACCAAGTCCCTTATTCTCTGAACGGAATCTCCCTACACCTTTTATCTTGGGGATGGCAAGCTGGCAAGAGAAAAAGGATGAACTCTGGATTCAGAGGAACCTGGTTCTGTGTCTCCTGTGTCCCCCGAGGACTCAGGCGCTGAGGCTGGTGTCTCCATGTTGAGTGGATCCCTCGGTACATACTTCATCCTGAACCACAGCTGTCTGTCCTCAGGCACAGCCCCTGTTCTCACCGCAGCCTCAGGAAGGACCTTGCCAGTGTGTGGAGAAGACAGCTTCCCCAAAGAGCTGTCACTTGCTCTGAGGGTCCTGCTTTGCTCTGTCTTGCCTCCTGTTCTTTTTCCTTTCACTTAAACTGCAACTTTGTGGCCCCCCCTTCCCCACAGATTTTATGTCTGAGCGCCTCTGGAACAGAGGGTGGTCTTCTCTTAGCCTTTGGGTCAACTCCAGACTCTTAATTAGCTTTGGTGAAGATTTCAAAGTGCTTCATTTCCCTTGTTGGAAAGTGTGGCAGGTGTTTGCACTCCAATCAGACAGGCTAGGGGACAGCCTGAGAGACAGAGGCATCCAGCTGGCACAACACACCCTCTTGGACACTGGCTTCTCCCCCATAGGGATGGACTCTGAGGCTGTGGCTCCCTCAACCCCCAAGATGCGAAGGATTGTTCTGGCTGCCCTGGCATTCATTACTGTGATCCTTGCCTTCTCTCTTGTGGTTCTCTTTGCTGTGGGTAAGTTCCGAGGTGACCTGAACCCTTTCTCCCCTTCTTCCTGCATGAAGGCCCCAAAGGGACTCAGATACACATGTTTTATCCCTGAAAGGGTCTCTGCACCTTCAACCCCAGGCCCAAATCAGCGCTTTCCTGGGATGCTACAGAGAGCACTGTCCCAGGGGAGCCTCCCAAGAGTCAAGGCCCATGAGGGAACCTCTGAGGGGTGCCTGGTGCCATTTCCCTCCTTCTGGAACCCTAAAGGGGAGTGGGACAGCCTTCCCCTAGACTAAAAGCTGATACTGGAATGGGGTGTCAGTTTTACAGAGCCCAAGGCCTGCAACAGAAGATGCCTCCTTCCAAAAGTTTACAGGAGACAACACTACAGGGAAGTTACCTGTGGACCCCTGCAGTAAGTAGCCACTGCGTGGGAGGTGGGAGGTGGCAGGGAGCTGGGGCATTCCAAGTCCAGGCTCTAGGAGGCCCTAGGACCCTGCATGGCTTCCACTCTCCTCACAGAAAGCCAGGATGTTTTTTGAAAAACAAGGTTGTAGAATATAATTGACACATAATAAAATGTACTATTTGCTACCTTTTCACATATGTAGTCATGAAATCATCACTGCAATCAAGATAAAGCATGCAGTCATCATCCTACCCAATGTTTACTTGTGCCCATGGTAATTTTTCCTTCCTTTCCTCTGGAAACAACCACTGACCTATTGTCTGCAATCTAGATTACTTGGCTACTTCCAGAATTTTATGGAAAAGGGATCTTTTTGTCCTTTATCAGTCATGTGATTTGTAAATATTTCCTCTTGGTCTGTGGTTTGTCCTTTTATACTCTTCAAAGATTTAACTTTTGATAAAGTCTAATTTATTGAATTTTTTCTTTTATGGATCAAACACAGGTCTTATTCATAGTTATTTTTTTTCCTCACAATGACCCATCATAAAGATTTCAGTGAAATTTGTAAACAATCAGTTTTGCTCAAGTTCAATTACAATGGTGAAATAACCCCAGTATTACCAGCGTGACCCGTGGTGGTAGCTAGTTTACAGTAGGCAAGATTTGGATCCTCCTAACTCTGAGTTCATGAGGGATAGCTGAGTTTATGAGTTTATGTGGGATAGTTCATGTGGGGCCTTCCTTTTTTTTTTTTCTGACCCACACTCTCTGGTGACCCTTTTCCAGGGTCTGACTGGCTGAGGGAATGGCAAGCTACTTGCAGAGAACTCAGGCCTGTGCTGGTGACATTTCCTTTGGGAATCTTAGAACACTCTGGTTGGCTTATACAGTGAAGCTCCCCTGTGTAATTTGGCTGCTCTCTCCATTTCCTCCCTCCAGAATTGCAGATGTTTAAGTGCCATGTGGAGAATCCCAACACCTGGAGCATGGAGATCCAGATGTTGATGGGCAGAGTGGACAATGTCAGTTCTCAGGTTCAGATGCTCAGTGGTCATCTGGAAGACACCAGTGCTGATGTCCAGATGGCAAAAAACCTTCTAAAGGATGCCAATACCTTGAGAATCCAGACCCAGATGCTAAGGAGTTCCCTGGAAGGGGCCAATATTGAGATCCAGAAACTAAAGGGAGATGTGGAAGAGGCAAATGCTTTAAATTTCCAAATCCAGAGTTTCCTAAGAAGCAGTTCTGAAAACACTAGCACTGAGATCCAATTATTAAGAGGTCATTTGGAAAGGGCTTGTAATAAGAGTCGCTTATTACAGAGAGATTTGGAAACAGTCACTACCCAGGCTGAAGTGGCAAAAAACCGTCTAGACCAGACAGATGCTCAGATCCATGCACTGAAAACAGAGCTGAAAGACATGAGTAGTTCAAATTCCCAGAGCACTGAAACTCTAACAAGGAAAATCCAGGAGACACAGGGTCACCTGGAGACTTTCCTTGCCTCCACTGCTTCCCAGGAGCAGCTACAGAAGACACAAAGTAAGTAAGAGGGAGGACTTGGGCTGGGAGGTCAGAGTCTCCAGTCCTTTCAGCCTCTGGTCTCCCTTTGGGAAGGAGGGTGTGATCCTTCCAGTTAGGCTCCTGTGTCTCTGGAGTGGTGGCGGGCAGGGCCACAGGATGTCTGCTGCGAAGCCATTTATCGTCTAGCCAGACAAATGAATATTTGGGAGACAAATATCTGTGGCTTGGTGTGTCATAAGGATGGTGTGTGCTAGCGGGCCCAGGTAACTTTATTCTGGCTTCCCGTTAGCCCAGATGTGACTTCCCGTTAGCTCAGGTATGTGACTTCAGTCAGATGCGCTGGGCTTCACTGTTTTCATCTGCCACGAGGGGACAAGGATCAGAGTTAACATGCAATGCATTTTAGTTAAGTACCCTGTGTTTAGGTCTTAGTCTTACAAAATTTCATTGAGGCCCAATTCTGTGCCAAGGGCATAAAGATCGATAAAGTGTGGAATCACCCAGGAGCATTAAAAATACTGATGTCTGAGATGGACCACCTGACTCTTCTTTCTCTTATTTTTTCTATTTTGGTTTGGGACTCAGCCTGGCTATAAGACATTTTTAAAGAGAGCTCCATGCTTCTACTGGGCATCAGACAGCACAAGGCTGTGAGGCTCAGTGGTCACTCTCTGGGGAGGTCAAGAAAGCCAGCTCTGGGTCATGCACACCATGCACAGCCACCCTGCTTCTCTCTCCTCTCTGACTTTTGCTACAGATCAACTTCTTGAGCTGATCCTGAAAGGCTGGAATATCTACGAGGGGAACCTGTATTATTTTTCTCATATCAAGAAGTCTTGGCATGAGGCTGAACAGTTCTGTGTGTCCCAGGGAGCCCACTTGGCCTCGGTGACTTCTGTAGAGGAACAGGTGAGCGCTGTGGCTTGGGTGGTGCTGGGGAGGTTGGTGTGGAACATGGGATTGTGGTGCATTGACCTTCTCTTCTCAGAA